TGGTATTCATATTTATGTTCTATTAAACAGGCAAGTGAACTGGGCAGAGTAGAAAAAACAGCTGTATTGGTACAAAGACCAGCGGAGTGTCAATCGCTATCCGTCACCTTTAACACTAAATCAACAGTGGATACGAAGGGTCACGGCCACCTAGCCGTCTTGCAGCATCCCGCTACGGGAAGCCGGGGCCCTCGTGTCCGTTTTAGGCCTCGCGATCAACGCCGCCACAAAGAGGATTTTTCTTTGATGGAGCAAACGAGCACCGGGCCAAGAACAGCAAGTGCCACTGTCGAAATGTAAATCAAAAAACCACCCGCGTGCACAGTCACACGCGCTGAGAAGTCTGGAGACGCAGTTGCTGCCGTCTATAAATGCATGAATAATTCGGACCATGTAGATGTGCGGTTAGCTGTGGCATGTCCCCCTGGCACAGGCCGAGAGCGAGTAGCCCCTTCATCTCAGTACGGAGTCAGGGAGACAGAGCGAGTAGGCAAAACAATCAGATCCATTTCACATGAGGCAGGAATTCGACCCCTATATCAAAATGCAAGAGGGAAAAAAGGTTGGAGAGTGTGGGCGCATTTTTATGAGTGATTCTCAAGACATGGTCCAAGCTAAAAATACATTTTATTATGACACACCGGAGCCAATTCTGTTTTTCCTCCGTTTAAGCCCAGGTCCAGAGCACATTTCCTCTGGTATTCCAGCGATATTTCGACACTTATTCAAACCAGATAATATTTTTTTAACAGAATTATTGGTTTGAGGGTTGTATTGGCAGGGCGAGGGTGCCCTTGAAATGAAGGATGATTCAGGCCGTTTCTTTGGCTTGGTATTACACATCTCACAAGCATAAATAAAACAAAACTGGACATTGCTATGACATCACAGGTGCCATAAAAAGCCTAAATTGTAGTTATAATCCAACCAGCAATAAAGGTCGCCGACGTCTGAATGTTTTACCTCAGGATTGATTAAGTAGGTTGAGGTTTTACATATTATTTGAAAAACAACAACGGAATGATCCCAAACCATAATGATTGAGCGTCACATGCTGTAATCTTCTAAAACCACAAGAGCAGCTTTCATCAAACGCTACTCGATTAGATTATAAAATGTTTTTCAAACTTTTTCCGCAGATTATGCCTCACCGACCGCATCTTTCTCTCAAAAATAAGCTCGTAAACTCCCAACCAAATTAAGCTGAATCAACACTCGAGACGGTCCTCTAGAGACCTGTTTGTGAGAAATGATTCAATGGCTTCCATTACAGCAAGCTGGCTCTCAAAGGCTTGGTGACTGACGCTGAAAAATGTTCACTTGTTAAAGGTTTGCTCAGTGATGTCATCGACCAGGATGAAATAGCACTGCACATTGATCATGAGGACTTTGTGAATCAATGGAACAAGCTGCAAACATTACAGTTTCCCCACACAATCAGTTTATCCATGCCTCATTCTGATGTCATAGGAGTTCCCCAAAAGACATGGGCCGCAGTCGAGGAGAATGTGTGGGAGTGAGAGCACAACTGCATAGAGATCAAGTGTGTGTAAGTGTGAGAGAGAAAGCCCAAAGACCAGAGAAACGAACGAAAAATGCTCAGGCGAGAGCAGGTAATTGCGCAGCCCACAACGGTTTACCAGTGATGCAACCACCGACGTCAACATTTTTTTCAACTTGAGTGCAATCAGCCACAGCAACTAAAACAAAGCAATCTTGTGGACAACACATGTTTACAGGAAGCAATAAAGCATCCACCTATAAATCACCTGAATGAGAACTTCTAAATCTGATCAATCTGAGGGTTTTATACTTTTTGGCAGCACCACACAACACATCCTGAGACATACTGATTATCAGCCAGGCAAGCACAAGAAACTTCATCAAGCTATAGGAATTCAACAATGAGTGCAAATGCCACATTTTACAGAGTGACCAAACGGTGCTGAGTTTGTATATGTGTGTGGGAGTACACGCATTGCCATAGAAACCCGGAACACTATAGCAATGACTCCCTTTAGAGTCAATTACTCATTTTTTCATGAGCTGAATCAACACTTCGACGTGGGAGTTTGTCTGCGAATACTAAGTATTACCTTGTGTTTAAAAAAAAACACAAGCACGGACAATCACAGCAACTCTGATAATCATAATCTCATTTCCTGAAAAATGACACTGAAGTTTTTAAGGTAATAATGGGATGAATTCAGAATGTTCGATTTAATATCATTCAGCTCAGAAATTGGAAATGTGTTGATTCAATGAAAAATGATCCGACTATATTTACCAATGCACCACAAATCAGTAGTTGACTTATCCAGGACACAGAAAGCCAAAGAACAATTTAATTAGGCATGGTAGAGAGATTTTGTCCCATCGGACAAGTGCTGCGTTCTTAGGATGTTCATCATGATCATGTGCGATGCCTTGCCAACTCACTGGTTGCATGGCCATAACTTTCTCATGATCTTGCTGAATTGTATGGTACAATGCGAATGCTGCTGCATTAAAGGCATCACCCAGATCACTTTATCTTGTATGATAACATGGCATTTCAACAAAACCTTGTCTAGATAAGAGCTTGAAACTACATGGTTACAAAACAATTACATAATTAAATAAGTGTCTTAGAAACATAAACTTAAAAGCTTCATTTACAATGAAAACAGCAACATTTAGTATAGCACATGCTGTATACTGGTTTCAGACATATACTTTTTGCCGTTACTTTTGCCTCATTTAAAAAAGTAGACATGCATAAGTATAAATTCGACAGTTGACCTGAATGAATAAAAATCCTTATAACTGAGACCTGAAAATTAGCTGCAGTACTATGTGCCAACCAAAAAACCTGTGCGAGAATAATGGGTGAAAAAGAGTATACTTCTTCAGAAAAACAAAAATCACCATTTTCAAAAATAGGTAGGACTTATAGGTAAGGTAAGTTTAAATACTTGTACATTTTCTTCCATATCACTTCATTTACTGTACAATCAAGCATGTTCTGCCACTGCAGTTGAAATGAGCACCTGATCAACGACTATTTTTAACGGATGAACTGTGGTCTATACTCAAAAACAAACTCACAGATGAATGCAGAATCATATAATCAATGTTTGATTGCAGTGATATTCTTTTATTTAACATTTAAAAATCATTTCACATGTCAAACGAGAGAGATAATATCTGTAACCTGTTCTCTGAAACATGTCAACAAGATCACGCAACACACTACATGCTTACTTCAAAATATTTCACAAAAGTCCATTCCATTCCTTTCCAGTATGTAGCATAAATTAGGATTCTCAAATAGGCATATCTAAAACATCAGTGTTCCTTTCTGTCAAATACATCTGAGAGACATTGAAATGATTCACTTTGGACGGGGGTGAGTTGTGGACCCAAGTCTCATAAATGCTGAGACAAACATTTGGTTTGAATTTGTCAGGCAAACATCATAATCAAACCCTCTGACTCTATTTTGTGACAAGGTATGATTACTAATATAAGTCAAATTTGTATAATCATAAGCTGAAGTAAGCGGTTAGCTTTGCCAACCCCCGCAATCCCACGCCATTGTAGCATCATCTAAACAGGGTGACCACCCTGGTCCAATACCAGAGAGCCCTGTTCTGAGGGATGCATGCTCAATTACAACTAACATGACTTGCAATAAGAGTGTCACATACATTTAAGCACATATAGCTACTAAAGAGCATAATCAATAGAATGTGTGTTCCTTCTCCAATGAAAATAGGGAGGTAAGATGCAAGTATTAAAATGATTTTGTGACTAAATGAATGAGATTACTGAATCACTCTTTATGTTTTGCCTACAGTGATCTCTCAGTGCAATATCATGGTATTCTCCTTTACTCAGCCTCATGCAGTAAACCTGTATGACTGTCTTTCTTTTGTGGAACACAGAAGATGTTAGGCAGAATGACAGCCTCAGTCACGATTCACTTTTAGTGTATGAAAAAAGATGCAAGGAACGGTGAGTGAAGCTGAATCACTAACATCTACGTTAGTGTTCCTCAAAAGTAATGAAGTAAAGTGTGGAACAATATGAGGGTGAGATTGACAACAGAACACTAATTTGTGGGAGAACTATCCCATTAAGGGATATAATAATGAATTAATGTAGCCAACTTAACGCGATCAAGTATTTTGTCAAAAGACAAACCGTGCGAGATTAATGTAACTTTGTTATTTAACCGTTTTTTTTAAAGGTTCCGTTACTAGGCTATGCGCGCCACATTTAACTTTCCTCAAGACACGATAACCTAGCAAGGAGGAAATGTGTCGAATTGTGCCAAAATACAATGCGACAGGACGATGTTCACAATTTTGCTTTTGCGCTTAGACGTTATTGTAAATTACGCCCACATATTATCACACACTCAAATATAGGCTATATCACCATAGATGTCAGTTTGAAACAGGTAAGGTAAGGTAAAGAGTGTATAACCTTTCCCTGAAAGGACAAGATCTGCATTAACTCAGTTTTCTTCGGCAAATGTAAAATTCTTTGTAGGCTATATCTGGCTGCTATATGCAACTAAATTAATTAATACATCCAATACATCAAATTGTATAAGTAGCCTGATTCATTTTTAGTTTTTATAATCTATTTATGTTTTTCTTATGTATTTATTTATTATAAATTCATTTATTTTATTCTTTTTCTTAATATATAGCTATTTTAAAACCATTAAAGGTTTCCAAAAACTAATGGCTTTGGGCTCTGTTGTGCAGATTGACATTTAGCATATGTTCAATTAAACGTTACAGAAGCCGTTGTAAGCTAGGCTTAAATTTATTTTAATGCTAAATATTTTTTATTGTTATTTTATATTTGCATTCTTAATTATGCGCAGCCATAGCTGGGATCATTTTAATCCATAAACCAGAGTAAGCCGACAAAAACCCGAAAAAAAAATCGGTAAAAAAACAAATAAATAAATACACCCGTAAAGACAAAAGTCCGCAGGTACATACCCTCTCCGGGTGACATGGTGAAACAGTGAAGTTTGGAGGTGTGATGCGCGTGGAGTTTGAGATCTTCAGATCCGCAGCGCGTATCGAGGCTCCAATACATCAAATTGTATAAGTAGCCTGATTCATTTTTAGTTTTTATAATATATTTATGTTTTTCTTATGTATTTATTTATTATAAATTCATTTATTTTATTCTTTTTCTTAATATATAGCTATTTTAAAACCATTAAAGGTTTCCAAAAACTAATGGCTTTGGGCTCTGTTGTGCAGATTGACATTTAGCATATGTTCAATTAAACGTTACAGAAGCCGTTGTAAGCTAGGCTTAAATTTATTTTAATGCTAAATATTTTTTATTGTTATTTTATATTTGCATTCTTAATTATGCGCAGCCATAGCTGGGATCATTTTAATCCATAAACCAGAGTAAGCCGACAAAAACCCGAAAAAAAAATCGGTAAAAAAACAAATAAATAAATACACCCGTAAAGACAAAAGTCCGCAGGTACATACCCTCTCCGGGTGACATGGTGAAACAGTGAAGTTTGGAGGTGTGATGCGCGTGGAGTTTGAGATCTTCAGATCCGCAGCGCATCTGTATCGAGGCGGGATTCGAGCCACAGCCGTCAGCAGGGACGCGTTTCGGGCAGATGTCTGTTTTACTGCTGAACATGGAGAAAGTGAGCTCGGTGAAATCTGTCTGATGACTGACCATCCCAATAAGCGCGGCAGATTTCTGCATCTGGACCTCTGACTTCCAAGTGTACATGTCAGTCCCCATTCAATAATAGTCCTTATCGCTTCTTGTACCTTGTGGGATGAAGGATCATGAACTTGAACTTCACTTGAAAGAACAAACTCTTACAGCTCTCAAAGGACTCTGAAAACACGATAAGCATACAGCCAATCATTTTTATAGCCTAATACGGTAAAACACACTGAATAATTAATGTTTTCATATGTTGTAGAAGAATTTTAAAACATAGCCTACCTATTTAAACCTCCAAAGCAAGAAAGAACGGATATTCTGACTGAATGATGATGACTCTCAACTTCTGCGTCCAACAGGCTGTTAAATGTGTTCTTACCGACCGCATCCTCTCTCCTGTTTCAGCAGCAATTTTATGAGTTTTCTATAGCATCAATTCTGAAAAGCAAAACATGCGTCCCTGCTTTGATTGACAGCTCGAAGTGCCAATGAATATAGACTGCTGAAAGGGGAGGGGAGGGACCAATCGGGAACAAACTGGATGCATGTTTTGTGAATAGTGAAATTGATCTCGAGCCACTTCAAACTGGGAATAATCATTTGCATTTATACAACTAAAACAGTTCTGTACAACTTCCTCAGATAACCAAGCCATGACAGATGAGATTCGTCATCACACAGCAACAAATAATTTAATATCTATTTTGTCATAGACAAAACAAGATCATTGAGAGTACACAGATCAATAATAAATATTTCTTAGGCCAATTAACTGGAGAAAGATGTGGCACTAGCGTAAAAATCTTATGTTTATTTTTCTGCCTTTCGGTAGAGAATCGCAGAGAGTATGATAAAAAATAGTGATTTGTGAAAAAGGCAAAAACAATAGAAGTGTTGTAGTCAGACATGTCAACAGTGACATCTTATGGACATTTTTAGAAACTAACATTAAAACGGCAGTCGGCATAATAATTATAAAGACCATAGATGGGACTTATTTATATAAAAAAAAATGCATAAAAACAATGTGGTAAGTTATTTATAGAGTATTTCTTAAACCGAAAATGGGTCCACTATGAACCAAATGCAAAAGAAAGTTCCGTTTTACATGTAATCAACGCACAGAGTCAAGTTATGATTCTTACTATGGCGAAGGTGGGTTCATGAATATTAATTACGCTCCGTGACGTGAGTCTTCCAGTAGACCAGCTGTTTGCTAAAGGCAAGTGGTCGCTAGTCGCCTGGCGAATCAACAAATCCTGCTTGACAAACGCGTATGAATATTAAGTTCCAGGAAGGTTACCAAGCAACGCCAATATGACCTAATTAATAATAATGAGCAAAGCCTTTGCCCTAGTAAGATTTGATCTTGAATTTTGGCGTGATGTAATATTGTTGTGGTGTGGAGGGCGGTAAGCTTTTGCTACAACACAGGCAAAGTTTGATGTCTTTGTCGATCATGTAGTGGATTGATAAATTCTTCTCGCGATGGGGACAGCAGTGGGATATGCGCTCAGAAAACTTTCTGTTTATGTATCAGCTGTGGCCATGATATTATTTGCGATTGTGCATATAACCCTGTTGAAATTTCTGTCATTCGTTTCCCCGGGACTCATGAGGAAAATCCATCTAAAAATGGGAGAGAAGTCGACGATGACTCAAAATCCCAAATTCAGATACGAAGACTGGGGTCCGACTTTCTTTTCTCTGAGGTTCATTAAAACCGTGCTCTCCGTGAACTGGTGCTCGCTGGGCCTGGAGGCGTTTGAGGGACACGCGGCTCCGGACACAGCTTTATTCACCCTGGATGGACAGAAAACGAGCATTCATCGTTTTCTTAAAGGTATAGTAAATGTATTCTTTATTATTATTATTGGTATAATTAAACTGACTGCATCAGTCCTAAGGGTCTTTTCCAATAAAAGAAAAATATATATTTTGAACTGACCGGATGTTACATTAAAAACATTCGTTTTTATAGTCTAGACAGTATTTAATGCAGTTACATTAAAAGTCATTATTGGTATAATTAAACTGACTGCATCAGTCCTAAGGGTCTTTTCCAATAAAAGAAAAAAATATATTTTGAACTGACCAGAGTATTTAAAGGGATGTTACATTAAAAACATTCGTTTTTATAGTCTAGACAGTATTTAATGCAGTTACATTAAAAGTAATTAATTAATTAATTACTTAGTAATGCATTACACCCAACACTGTTACTGATGCAGTCTTCTTCACAGGGAACCGTCCACTGGTTCTGAGTTTCGGAAGCTGCACATGACCCCCATTTCTCTTCAAACTTGACCAGTTCAAACAACTTGTCAAGGACTTCAGTGATGTAGCAGATTTCCTCGTTGTTTACCTTGCAGAAGCGCATGCAACTGGTAATGACAATAATATTTCAAATAATTTGCTGTTGTCCTCATGCAATAGTAACAATATGGGTTGATATATAAACATTGCCTAGAATACACTGTAGAGTACTTTACATGTAGAGTACTAAGTGATAAATGTTATACAAATAGCAAAATTCTTCTTTTATCTTATAGATGCTTGGGCCTTTGAAAACAACATCGACATCAGCGTGCACAAAAACTTGGAGGAGAGACTGGCTGCGGCCCGGACCCTGGTCAAAGAAGACCCCCTCTGCCCTGTGGTAGTGGATGAGATGACCAACATCACTGCCAGCAAATACGGAGCCCTGCCTGAGCGCCTTTATGTCATTCAGAGTGGGAAAGTTATCTATCAGGTGAGCGTTTTGTAATGTAGACTAACTGCACAGTGCACACAGTACAGGAATGCCTCCAAAGCTTCATAACTGCTCTCGTGAGATAAAAGGTTTGGAATGAGCTGAACAGCATGAGGCAAAGGGTTTGATAGTCGCAATTGGTTCTGTTCTTTTGCTGCATTTTTGATTGCCAGTGTTTTGTATAGTCTTAATATATTGATCAGGAAGTCCACAGTACAGAGGGATTTTCACACTCGTTTTTATTCTTCCTAACAGGGTGGCATCGGACCTTGGGGGTACAACCCTGAAGAGGTTCGAAAAGTTCTGGAGAAAATTAATTAAAAGAGAAAAAAATTGAAGTTTTCTATCCATGATTGCATTGATATATTTGCACTTTTCTGAAATTCTAGAGTCCTTGTGTTTGCTTGTGACAGATACAGATTAAACCAGCTGGTCTCTGTACCTTGATGTTTCAAACACAGGGGGAAGTAAAATGTAAGTTGGTGACAGTATCTTTAGCATATATTTTTTAATGGAATTTGTAACCAAATGTTGTTGTTTTTTTTGTAAACATTGATATATTTTTTTCTGCTTTAATGCAAATGCATAATTATTATACCAGCATTGCATTCAAAGACTATATAAATATCCATCAGCAGAGATTGTGAAGGGCATCTGTGTTTGTAAGATTTTTTTCTGAACTTGGGACTGTAAATGATGCTTACAGGGTAAAACTGTGAACTGTAAACTGATAATTCAGTCATTTGTTCTAAACAAATTTAGAAGCACAGATTTCACTGAATACACAGAGTTTTCAACAAATATTCAAATAAATAGTCATATACATCTCATAAGAGTGAGTGTATGTCATTGTATAAGGCATGACAACTTTACTTCATATCAATGGCGTGTGCTTGTCCTTCAGTGAAAAGCACATCTTGAACTGCTCTTTTATCCATGCTTGACCTGACAAATATTTCAAATAACTTATTTTAAGCTGCACAGTTCGAACAACAATAACAATGTAATTTTCACAAAAAAGGACATTGCATTATAAGGCTGTTATGAACATGTTGCACATTGCAGTCACTGAATCTATTAAAAAAAGTAGAACAGCTTCACAAAATCATTTATGTTCAGTGTATCTTAAGAACCCTTTCATCCAGTACATCTCATCAAACCTATTACAGCTAAATTCATTATTGACCTGCTATTCAAATGGCTGCTAGTAACAGTAAACCTGGTCTTCAATGGACAATGCTAATCTAGATGTAAGTATAGAATCTAATGTCATCTACTATGGAATATGCTAACATAATACATTGCAAATGGATGTTTTTTAATAACACTTGCACAATATTTAAAAATGTTTTTGTTAACCTGTAAAAGATGGAGAGGTCAAATGAAATGATGGAAGATAATATCAAATTATTAAATGTAAAACAAAGACGTGCTGAATTTTGGACTTCTACCTGTTCTACCTTTAATTTAATTCAGACTTAAGCAATTCAATTCTGAGATATTCATGAATGATAAACAACGATCAGTTCCTGTTTTTAGCTGCAAGAACCTTAACCTTATGACTGCATTTGTACTTTGGACTCATGTCACATGGTGTATTTGGCAGTC